CACTTTGCCGCCTCATTTCATAACACCACCATTCACCATTGATGTATGTACAGTATGTATAGTGTAGGTGTGTATTATATAAATTAGATTGTATTGTTTTCTTTTTTTTTTAAGATAGGAAAGATGAGGTATGTGAGTGTTCGGGATTTCAAGGGAAAAGTGCTGATTGATATCCGGGAATACTGGATGGACCAGGAAGGTGAAATGAAACCAGGCCGGAAAGGTTGGTGCTATGGGTTCAAATGTGACAGTAGAAATGCCACCTGTTAGAGATCGTGCTGCTTGTTTTAAATCAGTGGGAAAGGGCTGCTCTATGGGGGTTTGATTTTTAAAAATCCACATCTAAGAGGAAACGAAGACAGAAAAAATAACTAGAAGCACACATGCACAATATACTGAGATGGTCATGTGGTTCACCCCTGTTTATGCTTCTGGTTGTCTAGGCATTTTTGGTAATATTCAATATCCAATTATAATATAGTTTTGAACATGTTTATTCTTAAAACAGATTTGGGTTACATGGATTATGCCTAAATGGACTTTGCTGTAGTCTACAAGGGAATACACACACAAAAACATATATACACACATAAAATAAAATTCAAAATATACCCTATATATACATATTCCATTTGAAGATGCAGGAAGTAGGGTTCTGATGGTGAGGAAATTTTCCCACCGGTTAATCGACATGTGACAAACTTTTATTAACAAAACAAAACAAATAAAAATGCACCATGCTATAGGGCAGGCTATGCCTAATATAAAATAACAAATAACTTGCATAAAGTTTAATAGGTAGGCTATACAAAACGGCACTGTAAAACCTGATAAGTTAAGAATACTCTAAACATTTGAGGAAACTTATTGCCTCAAAATATTTGAGTAAACGAACTCAATTTTTTTTAAGTTAGTAGAGCTTAAAATTTTTATGACAAGTGGGGCGGGGCTGAGAGCAATGGGAGCCAAGTCAAGCCTCGCTTCCATGATCCCACCCCACTCATCACAATGATAATTATATACAACTTGCTTCCATTAACAGCACATTCATTCAGAGCTTGTCTCCCAACTCTCTCTCCCGATGCAGACCTCGCTGAACCACGCCCCCCTCGCCACACTGTTCATTGAAACAAACTGTCCGAAAGAACCGGTTCGCGGAAAAGAACCGGACTTCCCATCACTATTAACAACAGCACACTGGCACGTACTAATGTAGTTATCAAAAAGACTCCCAATACTTGCATGTAAATAATCAAACAACATGCAGTATAAATAGTCTTAAAGTTTTGCTGTCCATCCTCAACCTAACCTCAGGCTCTACTCTTCACCACAACGGTAACACTACAAAACCAACATAACAGAAACCTATGTAAATCCTAACATAACACAACATTTAAGTACTAACTTATGTCTCTCTATGTTAATCTTGTGTAAAAACACACAAAATAACACTTAATTTCTACATTTATTTTTCTTGTTGTCTGATGTAAAGCATGCTGGGAACTAGAAAACGCAATCATTTTAAGTTCACCTTACTACAACAACAATTTACAAAACTTCCAAAATCACCTTAGATAAACGGCAAAAGTCAACAGGCTTTTCAAAATACTGCCAAACAGGCGCTTTTGCATTTCGTTTCGAAACTGAATCATCCACCATCGTCTTGTCTGTCTCACCTCACTCTTGTCAGTCTCACCTCACTCTTGTCAGTCAGCTCGACTCACTCTCCTCACTGGAGAAATGAAATCTGATCTGTGATGCGACTGTCGTTCGGCACGCTGCATTGAGCAGCCGCGTTCAGTTTTTAATTGTAGTGTGTTCTTTTACTGAACTAAATGATTTTTATTACTATAAAAAAATCAAAACGATGGTGGGGGTCGGTGCCGCGGTGGGCAAGTGACGTAACCGGTATTGCGGCTTAACACCAGTATCACCATCAGCACCGTCTATCGCGGAAAGCCTAGCAGGAAGCAAAAAAAAAAGAAGTTACAAATTAGCCATATTTTTTATTCCAAAGAATAATTGTGAATCATTTTCAAATGCACCAGTATAACAATACCTTGTAATAAACATTAATACATTTGTTTACTAAAGCATTCTGTTTAATTAAAATTGAGTGATGTGAACAAATAATTAATTTGGAATGAATTAAACATACCAACTCTAATGTAAAAAAGTTTTGAGATGTCTTGTGTGTATAAATGAGCAGAGTTCTGTTTGATGTGCTTATTACAGGTATTTCACTGAACCCAGAGCAGTGGAACCAGCTAAAAGAGCAGATAAGTGAGATTGACGACGCTGTGAGGAGAATATAAGACCTGCCTGCAGTTCACTAGTAACCTGGATGCTTTAAAACAGATTGTTGCTCTGCAGTTCTGCTTATGTTGTGCTCCAAAGCCCAAACACAGTATCTACACCATCTCTGAATCAGCCAAGGGACAGATCATAGTCTTAGAGACCTTTCATAAATTTGACAAATGTGTAATGCCTTTGTAGAACGGCATGCTTCACAAAGCAAATGTGACCAGGACACTTTGTATGGATATTTTAGATTAGGTTTTATTGAAGTAGTTGTTCATTGTATTTGTCTTTTTATATTTGAGATTTTCATGGTTGGGGTTTTCAAAGGGGTTGGCTAGAGAGATGGGGTGTTTGTGTCCTTAATTTTAAATAAAGATCATAGAAATGCACACAACAAAGACCTTGTTTTATTTTGTGTTACAAGTTTCTCGCAAATGACTATAAAGGTAGAGAAAAACTGATAAAGTATTGAGAATAGATGCTGTATTGTTTAAAAGTTTTTTTTTTTTTTTTTTCATTAAGAAATTTTATTCAGTGACACTGAAGACTGGAGTAATGATGCTGAAAAATCAGCTTTGCGTCAGGAATAAATTATACGCAATTACTTTACAATATTTTGCAATATTGTCAACTATCAAATAAATGCAGATTTGGTGAGCATATTGACTTAGCTCAGGATGGACAAAATTTTATGTGTTTGTGTATATATATATATATATACACAGTATATGTGTGTAAAAAAATGTAATACATTTTCATTACAGGAAAGATGTTGTATTTGATTACACCAATAAAACAGTAATGGTTAGGAGTCACATTTGTGAAATGAATGACTGCAATTTTTTTTTTCTTCAGTTTAAAAGATGTTACTGTTTATTATCTGTATAGGCTGTATTTTACTGACAGCTATGTCCATTAGAGCAGGTTAGATTATTTTATAAAATTAGATTTTAATATAACTTAATTTAAATATGAAATCATTTTAAGGCTCCTCCAAGTTTAGAACTACTGGTCTATAGCAGAATGTGTGGACCACTGCAGCCATCTACTGGTTATTTCGGTCAATTAGGTCTAAATACCATAACATTCCAAAAGAAATGCATTAATTGTTAATTACTAACCCTAACCATAGTTCATGTAGTGTTAATATATCACATTATTATGCTATTGTGTTCTTGTCTTGATTTAAACACCTCGATTAAGTGATTAAGCAGCTTATGAACTGATCATTTACCAGGTGTGTGCCATGACTGAATTCTGAAGATGTTTATGTTTGTTCATACAGAAATCAATGCTTAATTCATTAGGTTAAAAAAAAGTGAAAATGCAGTAACAGTAACAATTGCAAAGTAGAGCTGGACAGATACACTGAACACAATTCAACAAACATCTGCAGGAATGATTTATAAGAAACTTGCAAGTCAACACAAGTATTTAACAACACATCCGTTTTCAACCTACTGAGCTATAATAGAGACATTTATATAGTTCTGTCACGACAACTTGGAGAGTTTAGCATGTTAATGTACATGGTCATGTTAACGGCAGGATTTGGTTCAAAAACATGTTTTCTTATGCTGGTTGAAAGGCTCTTTACATCCCGATAACAATCACTAAGTTAAGTTGTCTAAAAGTACTTATATGTATTTACATCCCTCGATCGGTCCAAGGGCTACCTGTGATTGGTGAGGGTTGAAGCTTCAAGCAGCATCTGAAGGTCGGGACAGCTGGTTTGAAAAAGTCGGCGCTTGGCATGACTCTTGTGCTTGACTTTACATTGCCTTGGTTGTGTGTGTGTGTGTGTGTGTGTGTGTGTGTGTGTGTGAGTGTGTGTGTGCGTGTGTGCACTTATTTGGGATTCAGTAGAATAGTTTAGAATAACCTCAACACTAGACAGAAACTGAATGCACGTCACACCTCTATTGCATTTTATCATATTCTATAGCTGGGGTCTCAGAGACCCCAAACAGCTCACCCAAAATATTTTAGCTACTACTCACATCAGTTATTAATTATAATCACACACGTGTATATTTGATATTATTGATCAATATGTAAGACACGCATGACACGAGTTGGCACAGATTAAAAACGTTTTCAAACCATCCTCTGGGTTAAGGCTAGATGGCATACAGCAAAAACTACTGGGCATGCGCACATCAATATAGCGT